AAAAAAAAGGAAGACAGAAAGAAAATAAAATTAAAAAATAACATAACATCTCTTGCTTCACTTGGAAACAGGGTCTGGTCTTGAATTTGTGGTGATCCTCTAGCCTCAGGTGCAACTACACCTGGTGAATTTTAAATTTTTTAATTTTTATGTATTTGGTACAGTGTTTCACTACCAGCTCACACGCCTAGTGATCCTGTTTTCAGTCTCATGCCTGATCTCTGTGGCCAGCTCAATGGACCTGGGGCAGGGCAGGCCGGTATAGCATTTGGTGCGGGGGATTGAACCCCAGTCCCAGTGCATGTCTAAGCAGGCACTTAGTCTTCTGAGCTATCTCGCCAGCCCTAAAATGTTTTAAATTTTTTTTTTTAATTTTTATTTATTTATTTATTTATTTATTTATGTATGTATTTAGTATTTCAGGGCAGGGTCTACAGAGTGTTGAGTGTTTCACTACTAGATCGGACTCTTAGTGATCCTCCTGTTCACAGTCTCCCAAGAGCTGGGATTACAGGCGTGCGCCACCACGCCCAGTCTCATTTGCCTACTCAGCGTGCCCCCAGGGGTTAGGGCCCCCAGGGCAGGCCCAAGGAGGATCGGACCCCAGGTTCCTGGGGCCCTAAAATCTTGAGATGGAGGTTAAATTGATAAATTTCCCAGGCTGGGCTCAAACTTCCTATCCTTCTGCTTCAAATCTCTCATAATATTGGGATTACCGGTGTGCACCAGCACCTCGCTCCTGGAGAGTTGAAACAAAAGATCAAAGTGGAAAACCAACACACTCAAACCTAGACCCTCGAGTTCCAGCAAAAACCAGACTGTATCTTTAAGACGCACTGCGCCGCTGGGAGTTGTAGTTCGCGGTTGCCTTCCGGCCTCTGTACCCTTTGAATGTGGAGACTCCCACCTTTAGCGCAGCGCGGCGCTGAGCTACCATTCATCTTTCCAGAGTTTCGGCTCGACTTGGGGCCGCGGGGGGGCGGTTCGAAGACCCCAGGGGACGCGAATCGGCCTGGCTGAGCGCGGGCGGACTCCATTTCCCAAGGTGCCCCGCGAGGCGACACATGGTCGCGTTAAAGAGCCCGCTCCGCCCGCGTCCCGGTCGCAGGTACGTGGTTCTGCGTCGGCGGGGGTCCTGTAGCTCCTCATACCCCAAGGCGAGTACAGCTGCCCTCCAGGCTTCTTCCAGGTCCTCGTTCCCTCAGGGAATTGTCTCTGAGAACTCTGCCCGCGTCCACCTGCCGCCGGGCACTTCTACTGTCCTGTTTCCTTTTGGACCAGGTCTGTCCGCGGGAGTCCCCAGGGACCTTTCTGGAGCTGCCTCCTGGGGACACCGGGGTCCCGAGGGATCTGCCCTGACACTTGAGACAGCTGGAGCGCTGGATGCCGTTGCTGCTCTAGTATTGCAATGAGGTCACTTCCTGCCACAGTTTACCCCAATCAAGGCTCATCATTACACACGAGTTTCAGTGGTGTGTGTAATTTCCAACATGATTTTACTCTTGGTCTTTCTGTTTTCAGGGAACTCAAATTAGGGTCAGCCTTCAACCCGCTCACCACTCCTAAAGTGTTAAAATGAGAGAAGTCTTTGCCTGGGCCACCTCATCAAAAATGGAGGACAGCAGGGTGTGGTGGCTCATACCTGTAATCCCAGCACTCTGGAGGCAGAGGCAGGAGGATTGCAGCAAATTCCAGGTTTTAGACTACCCAGTGATACCCTGTTGCAATCACCCTCCCCCACAAAAAAACCCTAAAAATAAAACAAATAGAAGGCTTTATTATTTTACCCCGTTCCTGGTTTGCTCACCAGATCCCCAGCTTGTTGAAGACATTAAAAAATACTTTGGCAAGTGTTGGGGAGATAGCTCAGTAGAATTAGCACTAGGGCCTGAGTTCAATCCCCAGTTCTGGAAAAAAAAAAAAAAAAAAAACAAAAAACTTTGGCATAAGCACCTTCATGGCATGGGCAAGGTCCTGAGTTCAATCCCCTGGTACAAAAAAACAAAAACAAAAACAAAAAACAAACAATGAGGTGGCCCATGTCTAATCCCAACACTCTGGAGGCTGAAGTTGGAAGATCTCTTGAGTTGGAGGCCAGCCTGTGCTACATAGTGAGACCCTGCCTCAATACAGAACAAAAAAACTTCAACTTGGCTGCAGCAGCAGATGAAGTTGGATTAGAAGTGGGCAGGATATTGGAATAATTTGGGACCTGTATTCTAAGATTTGTGTGCAAATGCCATGTGTGACAGGGCAGACTTGACAGGTGTGTTTCTCTAGTGGTTAGGAACACAGACATGGGGCTGGACACAGCTATCTGACCTGGGGTGAGCTGTTTTCTCCAGGCCTTGTCATACTACAATAGTTAATATATATTGACTTCCCTGGCAAGCACAAGGGCTTGAGTTCAATCCCTGGTTCTGCAAAACAAAACAAAACAACAACACCCCCCCCCCATTGAGCAGCTTAAGTAAATTTACTTCTTATCAGGATATCAAGCCTAGGTCCTTGTGCATGTTAGGTGGGAGCTCTTTTGCTGAGCTACACCTTTAACCCCCTTTTAATTCTTCATCCCTACAAAGTACTAAACTGTAATAGGAAAGAATAGGCTGGGGGAAAGGATGAGGCTAGCATTAGGTCCACTGCTTGCTAGCTCTGTGACCTTGGGCGGTTTACTTAATGTCTGTCTCCGTTTCATCTTTATTTATTCTTTTGTGGTACCTGGGATTGAACTCAGGGCCTTGTGCTTGCCAGGCAAGTGCTTATTCTACTGAGCTATCTCCCGAGCCAGTTTCATCTTTAAGGTGAAACCTTTTGAGAGGGTCTCACCATGTAGTTCAGGCTCACCTTAAACTCACTATGAAACCCTTGCGGGCCTCAAACTTGTCGCAATCCTCCTGCCCCAGCCTTTTAAGTGCTGGGGTTACAGGCGCGTGCCACCATGCTTGGCACAAGTGAGAGATTCTTACCATGATTTTTCCTTAGTTGCCAAGAGGGCTGGCATTTGCTCCCTGTGTTAGTTCAGGTCTTGGAGAAGCAGACACCAAGATGGGGCTAGGTGGCAAGAGAGTATGTGGAGGAGGAAGAGGTGCCAATGGGATCCAGGTCTGATTGCTGGGAGGAGGCTGTGGGGCTAAGGTCTCAGACTGCAGTGAGGTCTGGGCGAGGAGCCTGGAGCCTGCCCTGCAGGCAGAGGAGCTGGAGCCTTGCCAGGAGACAGAAGGCAGTGTGCGTCATCTCTGGGAGCAGGAGGTGTCAAGCAGAGGCTCCCTGGAAACAAGTGGTGGTGATTCAGACAAACATTCGGGGCTCTGTCACACTCCCTGCCACTAGCGCATTGGGGGTGCCACTCTGCAGTCCCTTGGCACCCCTTTCCAGGAAGGGCCAGATGGGCGGGTCTCTATCCTCACTGTCCCCACACTGGAAGATGGCTGTCTGGGAGGAGAGGTCCCTGAGTGTCCCCACTCCCTGATCAGGCTCCCCACAGTTGCCACCTGCTCCAGGGAATCAGCCCAAGACTCTTTTTGGCCCATCCCCTGGCTGTGCCATGCACTGAATGGTGCAGGGCTGCCGGTGCAGAAGGGGCAGTTCCTTGCTTAAACTGGGACCAACACTGAGCCCTATTCTTCCCTTTCACTTCTCTGTCCTGAGCGTGTAGCTCCCCCAGAAATTTACATGGACCTGTCTATTAGCACAAAAGCTAGGTCTGGTCGCACTTGTCTGTAATCCCAGCACTTGAAGCTGAGGCAGGAGGATTGCAGTGAACTGAAGGGGAGCCTTGGCTACATAGTGAATTCAAGGCCAGCCCATGGCCCTGTATCAAAAGAACAAAATAGAGCAGCTGGGTGTGGTGGCATATGCCTGTAATTCCATCACTTGAGAGGCTGAGGCAGGAGGATCACTGTGAGTTCAAGGCCAGCCTGAACTGCATAGCAAGACCCTGTCTCAAAAAACCCCAAACCAAAAAACACATTCACCAAGTGACCCAGAAGTCCTTACTGCCTGTGTCCTCCCAGAGACATGAAGTCTTATCTTCATACACACCTGTACCTGAATATGTTCATGACAGCCCCAGCTGGAGATCACCCAGGTGTCCTTTAGGGAGCAACAGAGAAACAGACTATGGTGGCATCTTGCCAGAGGATATCCAGCGGAAAAATCACTGGGCTGTTACCGATACATGCAAGAATTTGGATGCATCTCCGAGATGTGACATTGGAAAAAAGACATTAATTTCAAGAGTTTATAGTCTGTTTATCTGACAGTTTTGGAAAGACAAAAGTAGCTGTGGAGAGCAAATCAGGGGTTAGGGATGGGAGGAGGGTGGGACTAAAAAGTGATAGCATTATGGAATTTTAAAACATTTATCTGGGGCCAGGGAGATAGTTCAGCCAGCATAAGCGCCTGCCTGGCAAGCACAAGATCCT